CTGCGAGGGCTTTGCTTTGCAGTCGGTTTATGATTGATTCCAGCTTCGTGCCCAGGTCTGCCAGCAACCTCTCTGGGCTTTCGTCGGAGCCTCGTCTGGGGCGGTCTGGGCTTTGCTTTGCTTTGGACCTAGTTCCTCATTCCAGCTTTGTGCCCAGGTCTACCATCAACCTGCCTGGGCTTTGCTGGGAGGCTCCTTTTCGGGAGTTACGAAATAAATGATTCCATCTTTCTGCCCAGGTCTGCCAGCAACCTCGCTTGGCTTTGGCCGGAGCCTTGTTTCTCTTCGTCGTGTTCCGGGCGAGGATACGAAAGCTGCGGGGATTCCTAACATTTCCGACCGAGGTGCTTCCAGTTTCCAGGACAACTTCGCCGGACTCACGGGGCCGCATCCTCGAGTTCAGTTCCTGTTGCCAGCGAAGCCTGTTGTCATACAGCACTTTCAGTGTCTGATTCTGTGCAGCCTTGGACTCAAGCAGCCTGGACTCGGCCTGGACTTTCCCCGCGACCCAACATGGCCTGTGGAGTCGGTTTCGCGGTCACGAAGTGGGGGGCTTTCCAGTCTGTGCTGGCCCACAACGACCAAGGCTCCCTCACCCTCTTCTGCTACACCACTCCCTTGGAGGCAAGCCTATTGAAAGTATCACAAACATCATAATAATAATAATGAACTCTGAAGCGAACTTGGCTGCAGGCGGTCTGGAGGTCTATCAAGGAGGGCCTGCATCGTGGTCTGGGGCTGCGGGCGAGTGATCCGGGCTCTAGTGCACCGCTCCAGAAGCGGCCTCGCAGGTCTTACTCGATGGACAAAGTCGAAGGTGTCGTTACGAGGTCTTGCAGGTCACTGTCCAGGGCTTCCAGGACAAGGTCCAGGGTGGACTCGTCGCCCCCATGGGGTCTGGCCGGTTCGCGGTCAAGAAGCTGACGTTTGACGTCTTCAAGGGCCTGGCCGACGGCTTCCACGTCCAGGTCTTGACGGTCGACCTTCGGGCTCGTGTGCCATTCGTGGACGACAACTTCGTGACCGTGTGCACCTTGGCCGACGACACGGTCAAGAGGCCTGTGGGTCTGATGCTTTCCAAGAATGTCATCGGCCAGGACGTGGACCACGAGGACCCGGACTTGGAGCTTCTCTTTCCTATCACACCCGCCATCTGTATGCTGGCTTGGATTTGTGCGGACCGGGCACAAAGCACCTCCGTCCAGCTCCAGGTCTTGGCCTTGCACAAGTGGCCTGAGGACTTGCTCCTCTACAACCACAAAGTCTCGCCGTTGCTGGTTCCCCTGCTGCACAGAGTGTTTCATTCTGCTACTTAATTCGCCGCTCTGGCTCCCAGTCTGCCTGTGCCTTGCCAAGGACTTCTGGACTGGCAACGGTGGGCAGCTGCAGGAGATGCAGATCATCACGGCCGAGGTCAAACACAGTGTCATCGGGGTCATGTCTCTCGCCCAGAAGGTCACTCAGCTGCTGGAGGAGGTCTTGACCAAAACTACTGAGATGAAGGTTATCGTCCACGACGTTTACCAAGTTGAAGACTTG